TCCCTCCCTCCTCCCTCTTCGCAAGTTCGACTCCGTCCTGTCGTCGCTCTTTGGCATGCGGTTAGCGTTGCGTATCTTGCGGCCGCACTCGCTCACTCTCACTGTCTCACTGTCTCACTGTCTCTCTCTCTCTCTCATCTCTCTCATCTCTCTCATCTCTCTCTCCTCTCTCTCTCTCTCTCCTCTCTGTCTCTCGTCTTTCCGTCTCTCTTCTCTCTCTTCTCTCGCAGGAGGATCCGGGCAAAGAGCCACATATAAAGGACTCTTCACCCCTGCCTCCAAAAAGAGCGCCGTGTTTTTTCCTACCTCGCTGCCCTCCACTTTCCCATTCTGGAGCGCTAGCTTTCGCCCCCCCCCCTTGGCCTCAAGTAGGAATCTGATGGGATCTTTGTGCAATAGATTTTTTCCGCCCACGTTCCAACAAAGATGCGGAACATGGACATGGCAGATTGAGCTAATGTTGGTGCAGTCACAATCATACTTGCAAGTTTATCATGCAATGCGCATAGTCTCGGGGTTCTTTAGGGTGCAGAAGAACCCTCTCACCAGGGAACTAGAGAGCCTCGACGATGGTGAAAAGTCCTTAGGCCTTGCCCTCACATTCTACAGCGACTTGCGCCAGCCTTTAAGACAATTGCTCCGAAGGGCACATGGCCACGCCAGGCCGTGCGAAGTCTCATCGAGGAACGACAGGTCGAAACCTCGGCGCTCAAACACGCGACGAAGCGGAGGAACGCATGGAGGATCCCTTGATGGGGGTTCTTCAGACTTTCACACCATTTTTGTGTTGTGGTTCCATTCGTGTTCCATTCATTGAACAGGGGGGTGACACCCCAGGGTCTTTGGGGGAGATGCTTGGAGTAGCGAATCTAAAGAAACAGCCTCACAGGGCTGAATCCAAGTTGATACCAGAGCGAGTCTATGTGGTTTTCGATATGTTATTTAGAACCTTTACTTGAACTGATTGATCCCACTGACTAGTTTTGTTCAAGTGAGCTCCAACCAACCAGGATAGCTCGTGGTTCCAACAGTGGTGATATATCTAGTGGTTCCAGAGTAGATGGCTCAATCCCCCCAAAGGTGGTTTAGATGGACCCCCATCAAAAGGACATCCTGGGGTTTGGGTTATTTACTCTACAACCTCAGTAATTTGACCAGATGTGATGATTCGAATCGCTTTAGAAACCCACACTTGGGGAGTTGAAACATCACAAACTTACCCGCACATTTTGCAATTACTAGCGAGGCGGATGTTCAGTCAAGGTCGAGTGACCTGTCACAACAAAGCAGAGTTTAAGAAAGTGGCATCTCAAACGAGACAAGGGAGTGAGAGTCACAGCATCTTTTGCAGTGTGCTGTATGCTTCTTTGAGGCCTTGAGGGTTGTATGTGTTCATTCCTTGACTCCGACTCCTCCTTTATGATTATGTGATCATGTGATCCTTAACCCAGCCTGAAGCGGAAGTGAGATCAGCTGGATGTTTTTGTTCCAATAACCTAGCTTGCCTTTTGGAAGTCTTTTTGCAAGGGAGTTAGGTGTGCCTGAGTCGTGAGTCGTGCTCCTGGGCTCGCTAAATCATTGCGTTCAGGGTGGGGGCGTTCATACGGATTGACCTCGGCCTAGCCGCTAGCCTTCAAAGACATTCAAAGACCATTTAACAAAAAGTTGGACCTGCAGTTGTAGTCTCAAATCCTTAGTAAGGCCTTTTCCCACCACATCCTTCCATCAGCACCCGGCAATCCTAACAGACTATCTGGTGCACAGGCGGAGCTGCTGGAGGTCAACCACGAGATCCAAGTGTTGGAGGCAATTGCAGAGGCTCCGGTCCGGCTCATCATCCAAGTTGTGTTTTTGTTTTCGCACCCGCGAGAAGAGCTTCTTGGATTGTGTCCCAGTTAATTAGTCGTACCTGCCGGAGCGGCAAGTTGCTTTGTGGTGCTGGGAGCTGTGATTCTGTGTTGGTGTTTGCCTTTGGGGGAAAGGAAAGAAGGGGAAGGAGATGCACCCATTTTAAGGGGAACAATACGATTTTCAGAAACCCGTTTTTCAAGGAAAACGCGGCCGTGGTTTTATCCCGCAGCCGAGCGTGAGGCCTCTGAGCGAATCTATCCAGATCTGAAGACCGCACAGCCTTTGGGGGAGTCCTTGCATTTGGCGGTGGAGGCGCCAAGCACCGTGGAGCTTCAGGTGACGGTGAGGTGCGTGGGCCTCACGCGTGGGCCTGTGGTGGAAAAAAATCACAAACTTGCCCATTCACTTGCCCAAGGATGGTTTATAGACCCTGCTGCTATTGGTTTCCCATCCAATATATTCAGCTATTCAAACTGTGTGGTGTATGTGGAACTGGACCGGTTTTGTGTGTCGATTTACGATTGCACCAGACTCGGGCCGCATTCAGAAAAGCGGGATCACTCCAAACCCTGGGAAGCGATAGGGGACTCACAAAACAAAAACAATACCATTTGACAAGGTTCCAAAACAGTGGAAAACGATAGGGAGCTCACAAATCTGGGGATGCAACAGCCACACACAGCAAGTTTGTTTACCGTACTTAACATGTCTTCACCTTTGTCGCAGGACATGAAGAACTTGCACTCCTCCAAGCCAAAGGCCGCTTTTGAAACTGGGCGGTGGTGTGACTTGTTGAAGAACTTCTGACTGGTGCGACTCGGAATGTGGACTATGTGGACTTTTGATTCTTGAAAGCGCCCCAAGTGAATTGTGAACACAATTAGGCAACCAGCTAGTTCCGACAAAGATAAACATGATCCTCCGGAATCATCCACTGACTTCGTGATGCAACAAGTGTTGGAGAAAAGTTCCTGATGTTGCAAAAATCCCTCACCCAGACGCTCCAAACAGCCCTTCGTCCCTCAAAACCTAGGGCTTTGAGACCCCAGACCCCTCCATATGAGGGTCCATGAGCGTTTGGGATGATCTCATGATCAAAAAATGCGAAGCCGCCGAGTCCTAAGAGATCCATTCATGTGGGCACGAGGAGGATGCGGCATTCAGCTGCGCTCCCTGCGATGGTTACTGAAAAGAACAGGACTTTAACTCCTTCAATTCAAGCAGTGCTGTAAGGCAAAACAAAATAGGTATATACCAGGAGCATCCAATGGGTGTCCAATGACTACCCTAGGCCCTACGGTACTTAGTGATCTCGATCGGACACCCATTGGATGCCCCAGGTATACTCCAGGTCAATCACCCCTGGCCTGATTAAATATGCCAGTCCCGGACAGGTCGTGTTTGGGGAAGAGTGACCCATGGTCCGTGCCGAAGCCAGGGTTTGTCCATGAGACAACCAGCTTCTTGGCCATCGACCTTCATCCTTGCCGATCTGATGCTGGCGTCACTAGGCTGCGATCTTTTCGCCGGGTCCAGCCGCCCTCTCCATTGGAAGGGTTGGGCAGAAACTCGTCCCCAAGGCGGCTTGGGTGTTGGACGTGGTAAAGAGCTTCTCAAGGGCCACTCACAGACCCAGTGGCCACCCACAGACCCAGTGGCCAACATCAGTGGCAAGTGGTTGCCAGGGAGTTTGACTTCACAGGAACTTACTTTTGGGTCCTTTCTGGAACCTTGGGTTCCATGTCATGGTGAATGACAGGGGCTGGTTGCATGTGAATAGGATTCAATGACTGAAAAAGACGTGCATCGCCCATTTCGAGGGCAGGACATGAAGCGAAACAACATTGTGGGGATGGGTCAACACCTGGCGCCCCTGTCCGCCATGGAGCTTGACTCTCAGCCATATGCGGCCCCCGAAATTCCTTCGGCCTGGGCTCTCCCATGAACATCCTTAGGTTCAGCCATAGGTGGTGTGAAAATTATCACATGGGGGATCATGAGGTCACTGCCGCATGTTTAACAAATTGTTATAAGTCCCCAAGCACTCCATGCATTTCCCTACATGTTCGGGGGCTTTGAAGATGCAGTAAGGGTCCATATATACGCACATATTATTATGTTAAGATATTCCAGTCCCATGGAGTGTTGGGGGTGTGATAAACGTTCCAACCCACCGCGCTGGTTCCCAGGTGTTCCGAGATTTCTGCGACCGACGCCTTCATTTCTTCGACTCCTTTTCAGGGAGTGGATCGGATGCGCTGCTTGGACGGTGGTGGAAAGGGGCGAGGGCGAAGGAAGTCAGGCTAAATGGCACGAATGGCACAAGATGTCTTTTCTAGATGGTCTACTACCATATCAACCACCGACCTTGGGGATTGAGCCAAGTGCTGTGAAAACCACAGTAAACTCGCTTCAAGTGATATTTGGTCACGCGTCACACCAGGTTTTGCAGAGGTTTTCCTGTCACCCCTGGCATTGAATGCCAAAACCTTGCCCATTGAGTGAATCGCCTGCAAAACGGGATAAGGGAGGTGCCCCCAGGTGGAGCTCAGATACCAGTGAAGCAGCTAAGCTTGGAACCCGAATTCAGGAGACCATGGTGGCACCCACTGGTCAAAAGGCAAAATACTGTTGGGAGTTTTCATGTTTGAACCCTAGTAGTAAGGCCAGGAGCCCCTAGTCTTAGTAGTAAGGCCAGAAGCCCCGTTCGTAGCGCACATCCACAGAAGGTGAAGATTAAAACAAAACACGTGGTGTGAAAGATCTCCAGGGTGGTGTGAAAGATCTCCAGGCCCCCCACGACGAAGGTCAAGTGGCGGTCCCTTCGTTTCCCGAGAAACCTTATAACAAAGTCTTTGGCAGGAGTTGTTCTGGCTTGGGTGGGCCCCACTCCCAGTCATGAGGTAAGCATTTTGATAGATATTACTACTCAAGATATTGCTGTATTTATCTCCAGCCGCAGCCTGGAAGTTCAGAGTCTTAATCTCGCCCCACAGACTTGCTACCCCAAAAATGGTAGCCATTTTGGACTCCAAGGTGATGTATGCCGGGCTTGGTGTCCCAATGCAGAGCTTCTGAAGCCTCTTTCTCTTCCCAATGGACTAACCTGTTCAACTCCCTAGAGGGAGCCACCGTACCTCAGGATCGGAGGGTATGTGGATCCCGATTCAAACATGGGACTTCCACGGTTTACTCACTTTTGGTAGAGACACCACCGAATCCAGCCGAGATTCCCCACGTGGACTGAGATTCCCCAAGAAGGGCCAGTTTCTTCCCTGATAAGCCGATAAACCAAAAGCATTGATGCCCCATGGACAGTCCCATGGACGCTTCAAAAGGTGAAGAGTGGGCGCTTGAGCGCCGTCTGTGGGTCCTGGGCATTTGTTTCCGCACGTCACTTTAGACAGCGCCTGCAAGCGCCAAGGATTAGATGCCCCTGGGAGAGACAACGAGTTCCTTGGCGCAGCGGCACAGACGGGCACAGAAGCCCTCAAGCTTCATATAGTACTTCCCTTGACACTAAGATGGAAGTGGATGGCATGGCCCCTTGGATGACCGTGCTCCCTACACACCTTGCCCCCGGCCTGCACCTGTACCTGCTACATTTCCAGCTGTGAAACTGCCCAAGTGTTCTTCCAGGTAGCTTGCTCAGGCCTGGACATCCAGTTGGCACAGCTTGGAACCAATACGCGCAGCTACCACTCACTCACTATCCCCAACAATGGATCTAGGAAGAGCATGCACCTCAAAAGCACCTGGCACCACCTCAAAGCACCGCATACTGGATACTGCATGACACGACTGCTCATCCCTTGTTCCGTAGGTGCTCTCTCCAACTTGCCGTACCCCCCCCAGTTCCTCCCCAAACTCAAGAACACCGAAAACCACCTCCACGCTGTCTTTGGCCACGCTGACGCTCACGCTGTCTTCTCGCCGGGTGGCCTACGCTCCATGTGGCGCCAAAGCCTTTGCCCGCCGCCATGGGCATCAGAGTGTTTGCAGGTCGAGGTCCCTGAAGCGATCGCAGCTGGGACGCACGAAGACAGCGATCGCAGCGGGCAGGTTCGGTATTCTGGGGCTCTCAATTGAGAAGCATCGTCAGGAATAAAATGAACCAATCAGTTAGTTTCGGTGATGCCTACCGCTGCCTACCCTTGGTTTTCCCAGGGGGGGTCCACCCAGGACAAGCCCAACAATGTGACTACAAGTGTCCAAGTAACCATTCAGCAATGCCACTGAAAATACTCAAGAACCCTCCCGTCGACGGGTCATCACATGTCACTCTCCGATCTCCAAGGAGATCTTCCGGCAGCACGTCTTGCCCCATGGCCTCATGGCACCTTGGACTGATGGACACGCCGGTATGACTGGACTTCTCAGGTTGGGTACGACTGGGAGGCCTAGGGAAAAGACAAGCCGGTGCGATCCGTAGGTCTGTGGGAGCCTCCTCTCAGTACACTCCGAAGCCAGGACCTCCGAATCATTCACTCCGGCAGAGGAGTGCTGGTTGGGTGTTTGGGTCTCCCCAAAGCCTCACGCACCCTTCGCCGCAAGAACTTCAGGGCCTTTTGGGAGAGCGCCGCAAGAACTTCAGACCTCGCAGACCGAGGTGATGCCCCTGGACCCAGGTGATGCCCCTGGTCAGACCACCTGGACCCTGAAAGCCCACCGAGACGCGAATCTTCCAGCTGTCAGGGTCCGTCCCCTTCCAGCTGGGGAGAGTAGCCATCAGGCTGTGGTCATGGCAACGGGGTTTTGCCCGGGTTTGTCCCACCGGGGAAGGAACTCAGAACCCACGGCCATACCAGATACATTGCCACCCGGCGACCGCGTGGCCAGGTAGCCTTGCGACTATACCAGATGCTCGGCTGAGAGGCCGCCGTTGGGGACCAGCGGACCAGCCCTTTGCAAGAAGGAGACCAGTTGCAGTGAGAATGGGCCCTAAGCACCATCAGAACCCATAGTTCTAGATTGATCATGAGGAGAGAGAGGAAACTATGTGTGAATTTGAGGTAGGATCTCATTCTGTTGAGCCAGGTTGTCACACTATGTTGTGTCTGCCGCCGTTTGGCTCCTAGGGCCCTTGAGCTATACCGTGCTCGCTTTCGCAGTGAAAAGAGCGTGTGGACAGTACGATTCCGGTTGCTACCGACATTGGTAGCGGAGCAGGTGACGGCCTGACTCCGGCACGTACTGATCCAGGTCATTGGAATCGTAGAACATCAAGCCTGAGCTTGCATTCTTTGCGTGCTTTCGCTTGCCTCCTCTGATCCCGTTGGGGACAGAGCCCGGAATAGATTGCTCGCCCGAGCAATCTCCGTCGGAATCGTCGAACATGTCCATTGCTGGACTCAAGTTCCATTCGGGTAGCACTGGTGATAGAATAGGCAACCCCCTGGAAACTAAGAGTGGGTCTTACATCTATTGGGGAGATCCTGCATCATTTCATGATTGGAAATTTCGAACCGAACTCCGCATCAAGCTGTACGACCAAGCCCAAACGCAACCAGCAAAGAAGCAGGATCCCGTGACTGGACCTGCCGATGAAGGGGAGCCTTGGCCACCAGAGTCAGACGAAGGATTCGCATTCCCTTCGCCTGGACACTATCCCGAGGAGTTTGAGCCCGAGCCGCGTGAGACTGCCGGTACTCCCAAGTCGAAGGTTGATGCAACATCACCGAAGGCTTCGTCCGTTAAGTCAGACAAGTCGAGCATCATCGATCGCAGTGTCCTAGTGAACAAGATCGTAGAAGGTTTGAGAGGTGATGCCTTTTTGCTTGCCAGAGACTTAGGTCTAGAGACACTTGCACGTCCAGGGGGACTGGAGCGTCTCATCGAGGTGATACGTAACCATGTGTTTCCTCGAGCCTTGGAGGAGAGTAAGGAGCTTTTTCGCGCAGGACAGAAGCATGGAGGACCACTGTCGAGACAGCCTACAGAGAGCATGTTGTCGTACACTCAACGTCGACGACGTTGGTGGACCTTGTTGGTTGAGCTTGACCCCACAATGATGATCTCAGAAGCTTTCCGCACAGAGCTATTGCTGGAGATGTCAGGTATTTCCAGGCAGGAGATCCTCGTGGTGAAGGCTTGTCGCAAGAACGATGACTTCGAAGGTACTGCACGAGTCTTGGTTGACAACTACAGTGGAATCCATCTTCGTGAAGGGTCCCGATCCTGGACAGGACGGGGAATTCAGCCTCAGGTAGGCAAAGGCAAAGGGTACCAGAAGGGGTACCAAGGTAAAGGTAAAGGTAGCCAATACCCTCATACTGGTTACAATGCCATCTATCCCGATTGGGAAGACAATTTCGATTGGAGAGATGAGGACTTGCAGGAGCATCATCATGAAGAAGATTCTTTCGTAGGCATGCTAGGAGGGATTGAAGAGTCTGAAGAACATGAACATGCTAGCCATCCTGAATACGAAGATTTTGAGTATCATGATGATGTTGATGAATATGAAGCAATTGCCTTGAATGCAGTGGTTGATTGCGAAGATGCCGAAGAACGTTCCTCAGGTGATGCCATCCAATTGCAACTTGCCGCATTCGTCGCTTTCGGAAAGGCTAAAGGCAAAGGCAAGGGTAAACCTAAGGGGAAAGGTAAAGGTAAGATAGTGAAGTCTCACCTGAGCATCGAGCAACGCCGCCAGAAACTGTCAGAGATCAAGGCGAAATCCAAGTGTCTTCGTTGTGGTGGATTAGGTCATTGGGCCGGAGATCCCCAATGTAAGATGCCCAATGCCCCGAAGACTGGATCGGTCCCGAAACCTGCTGCACACATTGCCCACATGAGTGATTCATCCGAGGACGAAGGGATTTTCCTAGATGCAGCGTCTCCAAAGAATAGCATTGCTCACATGGCCGTGAAGGCCAGCTCAGGAGTTCGCCCGGAGGCACCAGTGAGTCCCAACGATCTCGCAAGGCCTGAAGGAAGCGATAGGAAGTTTTTGGCTGGTCAGTTCAGGGGGAAGACTTTTTGGCAGATTCTTCATGAGCACCCTGATTACCACCAATGGGCCACCAAGAATGGTAAGAGTCCAATCGCTTCGGCTTTCGTCACATGGGTTGATCAGCATTTTGAATACAGGGGAGCTTCAGTTTTCAGGAAGGTTGGTGGTGCTTCTTCTTCATCGTCATTGCAGCCAATCCCAAAAGGGTCCTCAAGGAAGAAACCACCATATCCACCAAAAGAGAAATGCAAGAATTGTTCCGAGTTCACCAAACAAGGGAGCACAGCATACACCATCAAGAAGACATGCCTTGTCTGTGGGAACTCCACCACCGAGCGTAGAGAGCAAGCCCCGAAGTTTGCATATGACGATTGCCCGCACTCGGACACCGATTTTCGAGGTTCTTCCAGGTCTGTTCACCGTGTGTTTTGCAAGCTTTGTTGTTCGTTTTTGGATGAGACTCCGATGGAGCTCCAAAAGACTAGGAAGGCAGCCTCTGAGAAGGTCGTCAACGCACCGCTCGATAGGATCCCAATGATTGAACGTTTGGTTGAAGAGGAACCCGAAGAAGGACACACCCCCGAGATGCTAGAGAAGATTTTGACTGAATTTGCCGCCCAAGTCGCGTTGGCAGCCGAAACCGAGGCCGTGACTTCGATCAAGTTGCACGAGCTCCTCCACCAGTCCATCGAAGAGAGCAAAGGAGACTCGTTCACCATGGTCGATTACACCGAAGATCCAGACCCATTTGCAGGGATCGGCATTTGTTTTCATGGGGAGGAACCTACCCAGATGACAGATGGTTTGGTGCACATATTTCACGAAGCCAGGGACATGTACAGCCCAGACGACGGGAACATCTACGTCGTTCTCGACGAGGGATGTAATTCCACCTGCCATTCAAAGCACTGGGGAGACGTCGTGGAGGCCAAACTGAAGAAGCTGGGGTATGATTTCCCTTTCTCAACCACAACGTCGAAGAACTTTGCCGGATTAGGTGAAAAAGGGACCACTACAGAAGGATCCCGCACATTACCCTTTTCGTTGCACTTCGACGAGGGAGATCCAGTGCATGGTGTTCTTGAATCCCACCAGCTGTCGAAAGGTCGATCTCCGCTGCTTTTGTCTCTCCATGCTCAGGCACACTTGGGACTAGTAAAGGACCTCAAGAATGGTATCATTAGCATCAATGGAAAACGCCTCAAAGTGTTCAGATGCATACACACCGGTTTGATGATGTTGGCAATTACCCCTCAACAATTGGTCCAAAGTCTCGAAGCCACCATGCCCCAAAAGATTCCAAAGTGTCATCGCAAGTTTCGTGTCGCCCTCACAGCCTTCAATACTCCGATGGAGAGATTGGATACGGCAGAGCGAGGGTACCAAGCCCAGACTGCCGAAGGTATCCATCGTGCGCTTGGCAACATCATTGGCAATTTGAAGAGCCGTGAGTTTTTGCTGGTCACAGGAGGTGACCGGTTTGAAGACAGGTTGTCAGAGCATGTTGGCAGTGGTATCCCCGTGAAGTACATCAACGCCAAGTCGCTGTGGGATCCCGACCAAGATCCTTCGTTGCGTGGACACGTGGGAAGGCATCCGGCCATTTTGAATGGTCTTAGGAGGGATCAGAAAGGTCTTGACCGCATCTTTCGTGAGGTGGACGACTTTGTGGAGCGCCATGACAAGGGAGTTTTGGATGTGCGCTGCAAGTCAGGGCGTCATCGTTCTGTGGGCGGAAGCATGTTGATCCACAGGCATCTTGCTTCGAAGGGCTTCACGTGTGTTGTGATTCATTCTCACTCGCCTGAATGGCGTGAGATGTCGTGTGGAGGACGTTGCACTCTTTGTGGGCCGCTTTATGGCGATACAACTGTGACATTGACTCCAGCACATACAAAGAATGTTCACACTCCAAGAGCTGTTCGAGGTGATGCGGACGACCACGTGCCGTGGCGATCCGGTGAGCGTTCAACAGCACCACCACCGACACGAGAAGAGGCTATTCGCAGCACCAGTGCAAAAGCCCGCTCACTTCCACCAAAAGCCTGCCCTTCAGTACTTTCGAGGCCATCTTCATCTTCACGACCGCCGAAGGCGAGTGACGCTGTGGCATCTCGAAAGAGCAAACCAATGCCGAGCGCTGCCGTGACCTCGCCTGTGAGGCCGGTTCCGGATTTTGATGATGATGACAGCCATGAAGACGACATCAAGTTGGACGAACAAGAGGTTGGAGAAGAGATAGAAGAGGTTGAGGTTGAAGAGCCAGAGATTCCAGCGGAAGAGACTTCGAGCGGAAGCCAAGAGATTCTGCAAGCCCTCAAGAGGTTGACAGATGCCGTGACGACGCTTGCAAATCGCAATCCACGGTCCCGTAGCCCATTGAGGAGGAGGAAGTCAGCTGGTACATCAGAACCCAACCAGAGGCCAACTAGGTCTAGGAGTCCGATTCGTCCGACCAGATCAACAGTGAAGACAGCTCCTACGATGCCGAAGACTCCACCACCTCCGCCGAAGCCTGTGAGTCCGCGCACTCCTGATCATCCACCACCACCAAATCGTCCGCCGCCCCAACTCTTGTCCAAGTCCAGGTACGATGAAGACCAACGTCCAGTTTTGGAAGATGAGTTGTGGGTCCTTTTGACCAATGATGGGGTGCCGAAGGTTGACCAGGTGGATCCTGAACTTCTCCATGTTCTGGCCGGCGCAGCTAGGGATTGGGGAAACCGTGACCGCACTTTGTGGCTTGTGAATCGCAATCTGCCAGCCAAAGACCAACAATGGTTTGGAGTTCGAGTTGACATCAAGATCAGGGGTGGAGTTTACACTTCAGCAGTCTCGAAAGCAGGCTGGATGACAAAATGGGGTTGGATCAAGTCGGTCTACGTTCGAAAACGTGAACCTGGA